CTGGAGGGCTCCAGATCCCCGTCCCTTGGGGCGCTGACTCTTCTCCTCTGCCTTGGGTCATATCTCTGCAGGGATCATGACTCTGAGGAGTTAAGGACAAGGAGCTCAGTTTAGCTCTTCAGCTCACACAGGCAGCACATTCTCATCTCACAACCAAGCACAATTTCCCCCACTACTCTCCTACCAGAAAACTCTTCCAAATAGTGTCCTGAAGGCCATAGCTCATCTGCACTGGTCAGGCTCACTGAAAACCCTGAATGACTTTTTCTCCATGTCTTCTTTTCACATGTCCTTCTCTGCTCCTCACTTTATCAGGCTTGAAGACATACAAAGGCAAACTGTACCTCAGCCCTCTTTCCTCGGTCAGCCAAGGCCATTTCTTCTCAATTTTCTTTTCAATTTTGACTCCCCATTGCCAAGTAATCCTAAAAGCTCTTCTCTCTTCCTCTCTTCCTGAAATTTTTATGGTCAGTTGTCAAAGGCGAGTGCCTCTACTGAAGACATGAGTACAGCCTCTACTATGTGATTGCATAATTTAAAGAAATTGGACTTAAAACATTTATGTCATATGCCAGGCTTCTTGTCCTCCTAGACAAAGTCTTTCTGTGCAACAGATAGGTCAGAAGACATCTGTGATGACATCCCCTAGAAAAGAAAAAAAAAAATCAAGTTGAAGTTCTTTTTTCCACCTAGTCACTTATGAATATCTGGGGTGCAAAATATTGCACCAGTCACTAATGAATATCTTAGGTGAAGTATATGGGTTTTTTTTTTTTCATTTTGCAGGACTTTATTTCCTTTCTATATCCTCATTCACTCTGAATTTCCTTAACTTATGCAGTTTCTCTTGGAATAGTTATAACACCCATGTGCTTTATCTTGCTAGATTCTCTACCAGAGGCTCATAATATTTTCCTGATACTCTCTTTTCTTCATCACGGGGTAGGAGCCAGACCTGGCAGAAAAGGAAAGCAAGAGGTTAAATGAGCAATACACTCACAATGAGCAATACACTGAGAATGCACTTTACAAAGGATGGCCCTGAACCTTAAAAAAGTAACTTCAGTTGAATAAACACGCAAATTAGCATTTCAAACTTAGCTGCTGAGGTCTGTTCTCCATTAAGAAAGCACTGTCAGTGATTCCTCCTGTTAATAAGCACAGCAATTATCTCAGACCCTTACTCATTTTATTTCTGAACTTACCTTGACTGATTCCCTTTTCATCAGAACTGCAGTATCTGGAAACTTTGAGGAGCGATCCTCCGTCAGCAATTTTCATCATCCATACACAACCCAAACCCTGCTCTTGTAGCTGAGACTTTCACTAGCCCCAAAACGTGCACGAGGAAGTTGTGTCTTGAAGTAAATGGCATTTTGCAGCATGGTCCCAGCCTTGCTGCTGAAGAACAGAGGGATGCCCAAAATTCAGGCTGCTGGTGTCAGGCCCAGGAGACTCAGCATCAAAGGGTGGGGTTCAACACCTACTACTTGCTTGATCTAACGTTTGCAATGTCTTCCGAGGGGAAATCTAGAGCAGCTCGGAAGGAGAGGATAGAGTTTCTCCAAAAGGGAGCATGAACTAACAATGGGATCTGAGGGAAAAGGTGGTTATGAACACCTCTGACCTCAGTCTAGCCTGGTGAAGTTTCTCTCTTTCAAAATGTAGGCCTCTGTGATTATCTTCTCCCAGAAAAAGGGGGTTTGCAGGGAAGGAAGAATTCCCTCTGTTCCCCAGACATAGCACACTCTTACGATTAATTGTCAACAGCTGCTGAGGTGTCGACAGCTGTCAAGGACAGAGACTTGAACAAGGATATCTCTACTTCTGCCAGCTGTTGATTGCCTTGAAGACCCAAACAGCCCTGAGCAACAGCCCCGGGATGTGTGGTTCATGTGCCTCTAGGAGTGGACCATGTCGTACCCTGTAGTCCTCCTGACAGGAGAGTCAATAATCTCATGCAAACTGGTCCTGTTCTTTCCCCGGGAATGATCTCTGTTGAGCCAACCTGGCATTCGGCATGTGTCAAGTCATGACTACCTTGAAAGTCTGCACTGCATTGTTCTCCTCCTTCTACAAGTACAGCCTCCCTTTACCTTGTGGGAAGAAAGAGCTACTGCTAGTAGAATGAGAAAGAGTTTATGGGGGGGTTGTCATCTTGAACTTGTGAAACACTGAAAAAAAAAAACAAAGATAAAAAAATGTATGTAAGTGCACCTGTACTCATTCAGTGTCACAACTCTTGTGTTGCCTGCATTTCTCATCCCTTCAGAGCCTCACCATTAGTGGTGCTGCATACCTGGGTAGCACAGGAGTTCTTGTTGTTTTTCCACTTTCTGAGGTCTCAGAATGTACTTCAATGGTTCAGTTCCACAGCATCCGGTCTCCCTCAGAGACACTTCACCTGTGCTAGTAAGCTGAGCAGTGCTTGGCTGTTCCCTCTGGCATCAATGGAAAGTGATGGGCAATTTCGAGAAGCCATTTAGTTCACATGGTGGCATTCAGAATAATCTTACTGTCTGGGTCTGTCGCCTTAGCTTAAAAGTTTGTTGCCATCACCATCATTCCATGGGGATTCTCCATGGCATAACTCCACTGTCTTGTGTTACAAGGCATTACATCATCCCCTCTTTAGCTTCTGTCTTGCAGGACAAATCTCAGTGGGAGATGCCAGAGATTTTCCGTCCTGAATATTTTCTCAGATCAATTCCTGGAAAGGTGATAGAGCAAAGAATCCTGGAAACCATTTCCAAACATAGGAAGGACAAGAAGGTGACTAGGAGTAGTCAGCATGGATTTATGCAGGGGAAATCGTGTCTGATCAATCTGATAACATTCTACAATGATATGACGGGTTTAGTGGATGAGAGAAGAGCAGTGGATGTTGCTCTTGACTGTTGTAAGGCTTTTGGCACTGTCTCCCATAACATTGTCATTGAGAAACTCATGAAGTATGGGCTAGATAAATGGAGACTGAGGTGGACTGAAAACTGGCTGGCCTTGGAGTCAAACTTAGCCTGGAGAAGAGGAGGTTCAGAGGGAATCCTATCAATATGCATAAATACCTGATGGGAGTGTATAAAGACATTGCAGCTAGACTCTTCCTTGTGGTGCCTAGCGACAGGATGAGAGGCAATGGACACAGATTGAAATACAGGATATTCCCTTTAAGCATAAGCACCCACAGTAGCTCTTCACTTTCTATTCGCTGCCACACTGGGGAGTTGAAATCAATTCTACACCTTCAAGATCTTTGTGCTTCCAGTGTCAGAGAGAGTGTCCTGGCCTAGTTTAGTTTACTGTGCAGTCATAGCCTTGCCTTTGCAATTGGATATCTTGTCCAGAGAGATGCATCATATCAGATACAAATTATATACTGAAGTTTATGTCTTCTCATTCTGGGAAGTGGGGAGAAAGTGGGGAGATGATAAGAACTTAATTTGCAGTATATAGTGCAATGCCATGCATAATTATATAAATACAATTTTATGATGGTAAGAAATGGAGAGCCCTGGAATATATTCCCAAAGGAAAGTCTAGATAGTATTAAAGAGGACATTGAGACAGTAATGTCTAAGAGCAGAGCCTTTAACTAATAGGGATGACCCCTGGGTATCCTTTGCAGACCTGTTTCTGTAGGTTTCAATGTCTCTCTGGTGTCGACTACTGCTTTAGAGATGAACTTTCACCCTCCAAGCTCAAGGTGCTGTTTGAATTGCTGTTTCCAAATTGGAGTAGTGCCTCAAGACTTATACGCCAATGCACAGGACTTGTTTAGAAAGCCACACGCCTCCCATTAAACAGTAACCAGGACAGAGCAAAGAAAAGTAGAAGAGTGCACCTGGTGCAGAGAGTGCCTAGTAGGGATTACCCAGTGGGGAGAACCCAGAAGAGAACTCCTGTCATCTGTTAGCACTGAAGCTCATAACTCCATTAGTATATGAGTGTCATTAGTGCTTCAGATTCTTAACTCGTGACAGGAAATTGCACTTTGGCTTGCATTTTCCTCTCCCCGGCTAAGCCTCTGCTGAACAACAATGGATTGGGCCAACCTTGCTCTTGCGGGCTTAGTGCTTATCCTGATTCTCCTGCTGGTTCTGAAAAGAGAATATTTCTGGAAGAGCCATGCAAGAGATGGCTTTCCTCCAGGACCCAGGCCTCTACCCATCATTGGAAATCTGCACATCCTGGATCTGAAGAGGCCTTATCGGACGATGCTAGAGGTAGCCTCTTCTGTTCTTTTTCTTACATCTCCTTCTCTGTCTAAGGAAGCTGCTGACTCACAAGCAGGACTACAAAAAGTTCTCTGGGCAGACAGCTTCAAATATAGCAAGATTCACTCTTTCTTCTAGATGCTCTTCCCATCACTGGCATTTCACGAGAGGGTGTTGGTGTGGGTGATGTGAGCTCTAGCATTGTCCCCCTAAAGGCAGTAACTCTGGACTTAGTGAAGTGCACTTGACACCAGTCATGGTGTCAAGTGTTTGACCACAATCTGAACAGCTCTCACAATTGCTGAAAAATTCTCTTTGTGTTTGTCTCTTTAAAGCCATGCGTAGCTAAGCAAGTCTGCTGTCCTGTGTTAGCCTAAAGAGCTCTGAATTGTCCGAGTTCAAGTCAGGGCCCTGAAATGCTTCTCTCTGAGGGCTTCTCAGCTCCGCTACCTCCCCAAACCAAAATTCCCAGACCGTTTCATACCTCTGGGTATTATCCTGCAAGGGCAGCATCCAGGCCCTAGTCTGCACTTTGTCCTCCCATTGCTGGGCACTCCCCAGGCATGGTCCTACCCTACGATGTAATCCTCACTTACATGGGCACTCAGAGGAGCAAAGCCAGCCTTTAGGCTGTTCCCTTCAAAAGGTATATTAGTAGAGGATTGCAGACCCCATTGTGAGGCATTATCCTCATAACAGTTCCAACATTTCTGTGAGTACTTCCATGACCTCTTCTCCACATGCTGGACATAGAGGGAAATTCTAGTGCTGTATAGGAAGGTGAACAAAAGAGTCTTGAACTGGCTGAGAATTAATTATTTTGGGCTTGGTGGTCATCATTTGAACCCATTGTCTCCCTTCATCCCACTAGCTGTCCAAAACATATGGCTCGGTTTTCAGCCTTCAGATGGGACCAAATAAAATAGTGGTGCTGTCAGGATATGATACAGTGAAGGAAGCTCTGGTGAACCACGCAAATGCATTTGCAGGGAGACCTGAAATCCCAGTCCTCGAAAAAATTGTAAAAGGAAATGGTGAGTTGGATAGTGAACACGGATGGACCCTTTTGTATCTTGTGACCAATTGTGAGTAACCAATGTCTTGTTAAAAGCTGACCCGTGTTTACATGCTTTCTGTCCTCAGGACTTAACAAGATTCCCAGTAAGAATAAGAAAGTTTGATTGGAATAGGTGCAAGGAAAGTAAATTGCAGCACCTGCTTGACCTAAACTTCTCTGAAGATGCCCCTGAGAATTCTCTGCAGCTTTGCTAGGATGCACAAGGGTGGGACTCATCTGACCAAGTGGGGAGATTTTCCACACAGATACCCACATCAGAGGTTGTCATTTGGTTCCTATGGTCTGTGGAAGAACACATACACTCCCAAGGGGGGATGCATCTCTTCCCAAAGGAGACATCTAAGATGAACAAGCATACCCATCTCACACAGATGAGATGCAAATTCAACTCTCTGCTCTAATCCAGGCTCAACAAAATCCTTAGTCCCTCAGAAGGCATCAGCAAGAACATGAACTTTGAGCAGCAGCTGCTTCCCTCACAGCTTTCTCCCAGCATTTCTTTCCTGTCTCATTTCACTCTACATGAGAACACAATGTGCCTTGAGAGTTTGAATGTGTTTCCTACCAGTGTGCACATTTACCAGGATTCAGAGTGGGTAAGGGATCTTTGCTCTCTTTCTGAAATTTCTAATTTTATACTTTCATTTTACATTTCAGGAATTCTATTTTCTAGTGGAGAAAACTGGAAAGTGATGCGAAGGTTTACTCTCACAACCTTACGAGACTTTGGAATGGGCAAGAAAGCCATAGAGGACTTCATTGTGGAAGAGACTGGACACCTAGCAGATGCCATTGAGTCACACAAAGGTAGGCAGACTTTTACTTTCCTAAAACTTCTCTGATTTTCCTCAGGCCTCCTGCAGGAATGCCAAAGATGGTGAGGAAGTAGCTCTTAGCTCCCTCAAAGATATAGTTTTTCAGCATCAATGATGTCATGAGTTTTCATGGTCTATCTGCCTATCTAACTTTCTGCCCATCTACCTGGCAATTGCCTGATATGCAAATGAAAAGCATTCAATGAGGTAATGGAACTTGAACATGGAGTCAAACATCAAACAGCACATTTGAGGAAAGGAATGTTTCCCTCCACATGCAATGTCACTACAAATGACAATCTCTGATAAATTCAGAGGCATGGGGATGAAAGCAGAGGCAAATGCAAGGACTTGCATATCTACTAAAACTTTGATTGTCCTTAAATGTGTGTGGCTAAGAAATCCTTTCCAGCAGGGGACAGAAGATCCAGTTACTCATTTCACCAGCATCAGTCAGGATTATTTCTCACTAGGTTAATTTATCAAGAGCAGGAATTTCAGGAAGTGGGTGTACCAGGTTGGCAGTAGCCACCTTTGTGCAGCCAGGGACTTGTCTGGCTGGTGATCTGAAGCACTCTCCAGGCTTAATCTTTTGCGGCCATGCATTGCTGTGTTCTTACAGAATTCTTCCTCTGCAAAGCAGCAGTGAAATCAATACCCAAAGATGGATTAACCTCACCCTGTTGTGGCCATCTAATTATTTCATGTCTTGTCTAAGCCCTTGGTCTAGTTTAGAGTCCTTTATTCCTCATCGTTCCTCAGTGAAGGAAGAGGTATTAAAAAAAGGGTAATTCATGCAGCTTATTTTGCCTACTTAATTGGGGATATTATGCAGAGGGATCTCAGGTCTTAAGTTCAACAGTAAGTAAAGAACTCTCATTAGCCTGTTTTCTACTGAACATGGAATTCAGCAGCTGGAGAATTAGATTCAATCCTTCCTTTTGGAGAAAACTCTGATGCAAACTGAATGAACCCTCATCTGGAGGCCTCTCTCTCTCTTTCTATCTCTAGTGAGGATAGAGGAATACCAGAGGAAGTGGCTTAGAGCTGAGGACTTTTAGGTGGGTACATTGAGAAGAGGACAGAAGATACACCAAATCAAATAGGAAATCAAACAACTCCTTATTTGTCCAAGGTTTGCCCCAACTGCCTTAGATTAGAATCAGATTTCTACTTCCCTATGCTAATCTAGGCTTCAAGTATTCCCCTTGACCCTCTGAAAACAGGAGCTATGGCTAGCTGAAAATAGGATGCACCAAAGAGGCCTGAAATCTGTATATGCAACAGGAAAGGAAGAGTAACCAGGAGTGAACATGTATGTATATCCAAGCAGAGGAGCTCCCATGAAAGGGAAGGTCAATCAGGTCTGTAACAGTCACTGAGGCAGTAGAAGAGCACAGAAGGTGTAGATCCAGACTCTAGTCTGCCTTAATGGCCCCCAGGGGCATGTGAAATGTTGACTGGGGGAGCTGTCCCTCCTGACAAGTGTGCACCTTCTGCTTTCCCTCCTCAACAAACCTCAGCAGCTTCTTAACCGTGTATCAGCGTCAGAAGTGGGTACACACAGGTCCCTCCCACTCTTTTTGTCTTTCCCCTGACAGCTACAGGAAGAAAACCCAGGCTCATATACTCCAGAGGAAACACAGTACACTCCAGGCATGCCCCTCTTTTGGTCAGGTGGAGCATAGAGCATGCCTGCCTGACAGGCTAGCTACAACATGGTAGCTACTGTAATTCTTTGATTTGTTAGAATAATCATTAACCATGGTGTTTGCACAACCTTTCCCCACACTAGGGAAACCTCTTGAGATGACCATGATGCTAAATGCAGCTGTCTCTAATGTCATTATGTCCATATTGCTTGGAAAGCGGTTTGACTACGAAGATCCCACATTGAAAAGGCTCCTGTCTTTGGTGAACGAAAATGTCAGGCTTCTTGGAAGTCCATCAGTTTCGGTAATTCATATTGTTTGCATAGTCCTCTTCCAAAGCATGCATTACACAGAGGGTAATTGCACATCCCCTCACTCCTCACCAGCACAGCACATATACCTGCACACGACAAATGCTTTGCAAAAAGGATCTCTCTCACTATATATGGATTTATCCTGCCAGCATCCGGCCTGAGATATTACTAGTACTTCATTTCACAAAGCAGAATTCAAGGCCATGTAATCTAATTCTAGCAGTGTGTGTCCATGTGACAGAAGTTAATCATTGTTCCCCACCTCCCCCACTAACAACACGGTCAAGAAATAGCATGAGAACAACAGGTTCCTTCTCTTAAACTTGAGATATACAAGTACAACTGGTGTGGAGAGGGAGCGTTGAATTCTCTAGAAGCACAGAAGGAAGAAATTGTGTTTGTAGTCAAGGGCATCTGCAGAAAAAAAAAGTGATTTGTAGGCCACTTTTGATAAGGGTGATTAAGACATGGTGTAAAAGCAATCAGTTTTAACCATTTTGCAGGGTTGTGCAGGGAGGGACAAAGAGGGGGTGTTTTGCATCATGACCGTAAGGACGCACACTATTTTCGGTAAGAACTTCTGTCAGTATGGGCTGCTGAGCTGTGGTAACTCTTCTTCACAGTTATCTTTGACTTCTCTCCACCTTTGCATCTTGCAGCTGTACAATATATTCCCAGTCTTTGGAATCTTCCTGAAGGACCACAAAACCATTGTGAAGAACAGAGAGGAAGTTGGTGCTTTTGTCAAGGCCACTTTTACAGAACATCTCAAAACCCTCGACAAAAATGACCAGAGGAGCTTCATTGACACTTTTCTTGTCCGGCAACAAGAGGTAATTGAATCCCAGCAGCTTCTTCAAATCTCCTTGGTTTCTTTTTCACACTTGACAGGCCAGCTAAAGATATATTTTTCAGCAGAGGTCTAGCTTGAGGAAAAGTCCTACCTAGAAATGTGGCTCAGCTGAAAAACTATGCAATCATTTCAGTTTAGGACAGAAACTGAAAACAGACAACAGCTTTCTGTTGTCCCCCTTGGTTCATAAATAAAATACAAATCCTCATTTCACCAAACAAAGCAAGACATGCTGTCTTTGCTTATAGTTTCACATTTCTTTCTGTTCTCTGGAACTTAACACTTCCATGAGGTCTGAGTATGAAAATAATCACTGATTCTCCAGCTTTAAAGGGCCTTCTGAAAGCTTTAATCAGTTAATATTGATAACAATTCATTTTTTTCCAGGAGAAAGGTAACACCAATGGGTACTTCCATAACGACAACTTAGATGAGGTTATGCAAAATCTGTTTATAGCTGGTATGGAGACCACATCCACCACTTTGCGCTGGGGACTTCTGCTCATGATGAAATATCCTGAAATTCAGAGTAAGTGGAATGAGGCAGCCTGCAGTCTCCTTTTCACCAGGTCACTGTGCATAGCACTCCACACTGGGCAAGGCCAAACGAAAAGTGGATTCTCCACTTCCTGTTATTCTTAGCAGGAGAAAGGGACTCTGAGTGAGCAATCTGTGCATGATCCATATTCCTTTCACAGAAAAGGTCCAAGAAGAGATAGAGCGAGTGATAGGATCAACCTCCCCGCGCATCGAACATCGATCTCAAATGCCATATACAGATGCTGTCATCCATGAAATCCAGAGGTTTGCTAATATCCTGCCATTGAACTTGCCTCATGCGACTACTGAAGACGTCACTCTCAAAGGTTACTTCGTTCCCAGGGTGAGAAGCTCTGAGCACTCCTTCTCTTCCCTATGTCCGCTCTGCAACACGTCCCCTTTTAGGTTCTGCTTGTGTTGAGATGCTCGCTCACTCTCGCATTCTCATAGCTACCTTGGCAGTAGCTCCCCTGCTAAATAAACCTGGTTTCTGGAGCTCCAGCAATCACTGTTGCTATGAAAATCACAGTAGGGCCATTAGCAATGGAATAACTGCTCTGCCTTGGCTTGCAGGGAACCTACGTCATCCCCTTGCTGGCCTCTGTTCTGCGAGACAAATCCCAGTGGGAGAAACCTGACATGTTCTATCCAGAGCATTTCCTTGACTCTGAGGGGAAGCTTGTAAAGAAAGCAGCTTTCATGCCTTTTTCAGCAGGTACCTTCTCTTCTATTTGTCGGGCTCTGAGGGGGACTGGACATCTTACACTCATTCCCAAGTGGTTTGGTGACCAGCACTGCCCCAGCCCTGAGCTCTCTTGTCTTGCAGCCTTTTCCTAGCCCCCAGCACATTGCCCGTGACTACCCCAGGAACATGGGCGAATGTACCTTCTCCGCCCTTACCTGAGCACTCTATCTGTAGCACCTCTCTCATCGGCATATGTTCCTTACCAAAACTCCTCAGGAACAGCACAGAGCCAACAATCTGCCCAATAGAAGTATCTAATCATCACAGTGAAGAAGTGTGGTGTCCTGCCTTCCTGCGGGACCGAGTGTAGAGCATAGCAGTCAAGAAAGACATTGGCATTCTTTGCACACACAGTCAGACAAAGTTGTTGTAATCCATTCATGATAAGGAAGGCCTTGACTGGGGGGGGGGCGGGTCTTGTCACTTTAATACCTATCCAGTCCAATACCTCACACTGCTCTGATTCAAGATACTTTGATGCTGTACAGGATTAGCTATTTCCAACAAGGGTCAATAAAGAAAATACTTTAGGAAGTAGCCTGTAAAGGTAAAACCAGCATAGGGAGGGTTTCTCCGCCAAATGGATACAGGATGCTCCTCAAACACTTCCCAGAGCTCTCCTCTCCTCTATTCTATATCTGCTAACTTCACAAGTCCAACATTACCAAAGGGCCTGAATTTTGAATTTGTGCAGACAGAGCTCAAAGACCCTGACAACAGGCCAAGAAGCAGCTGCTACTGACACTCTTGTGGCTGTTCTGCATTCCAGGGCGGAGGATCTGTGCTGGTGAGACTCTTGCCAAAATGGAGCTCTTCCTCTTCTTCACAAGACTCCTGCAGCAGTTCATCTTCCACCCTCCCCCTGGAGTTTCTTCTTCAGACCTGGACCTCACCCCTGCCGTTGGGCTTACAACCCCTCCAGCAGTTCATGAGGTCTGTGCAGTGCCACGTTCCTAGAGCTTTTCTCAGGCATCCTCCTTCTTTCAAAATGTTCAGATGAAACATCCTAGTCTTTCTAGTCACATGTGGGCAGTTTAGTACTTCAGAATACAGTAAGGGATTTTTAGCCCAAGCACATCTCAGGTCTTAGCTGGAAGTGTTTCACCCACCCTTGCTCCAGGCACTACTCAAAAGGGAAAGTGATGGTCACTATAAGAGTGGATCCTACAAGGGACATAGCAAAATTCAAGTCTGTACGCTATCTCTGCACCTCTGCATGTTCCCCTCAAGGAAAGAGGCCAAGGGGCCAGTGTCCGGGCCAGACCTCAGACAGATACTTCACGCACATGCACACACATGCACACACATCCTCCTTCCACACCTCCAGTGCAGACTAGTTGCTTCCAAGGTGCCTATTGGAAATGGCATTACACATTTTACATTGGCATTATACAAGCATGCACACACATACACACATGTGCAAATATAACTTAACAATATAGCAAGACAACATTAGATGTCAACCTAACTCAGAATTACAGTGAAGACGAACAGAAGACTGTCACATGAAAACATAGAAATCCCCTGGCTGGAAGCTAATATTGATTTGGTTAACTTCAGAATACTGTACATACTGATAAGAGTAATTGAACCTTGAAAAAATATAAAATCCTTCTCCACCAAAAAATCAAACTGTTGCCAGTGTTGTCTTCAAAGCTGCAAAGACTCTCTTGCATGCCTGAAAATGGCTTCTGTGGAGGCACCCTTGTCTGAAACAGGCAACCCATGCTGTGCTTCCACTGGGAAATGGACGAACCAGTCCTTTTGTGGCACCTTGGGAGGGCTACCATTTTTTTGCGCGTACTCCCCTTCTACAGTGTTTTCTCATAAGAACACCTGCAAAACTCCCCACCAGCACTCTAACACCTGGGGCAACTAAATTAAAAGGTACTCCTTTCGGTACGGGAACAGATTTCTCCTCCATTACAGAGCACTGAAGGTATCAGTTAATGATAGAACACTCTAGCAGAACCACCAGCCACTTTCAAAAAAAATCATGTCTCCTGTCTTCTCAGTGCCGATGTTACAAGCCCCCAGCTTCCTTCCAAAATGCCAGAGTCTTGCACAGGTGGGTAGAGGTAGCGCTTGTTCTGAAATGCTGCACGGGCGTAACCCGGTGCCCATCTCTCAGGAGACAACCCCGAGTCACCCTGCCATTTCATCTCAAGAGCTCAAGAGTCGGCATCTGACACATTCCTTGTTAATGGTTAAACTGTGAACGTGCGTGGAAGACATGGCGTGCACTGTGCCCTCTGCCTCCTTTGGGGAGGTGGGGTAGAAGCAGGCCAACTGGCACACAGCTGGACATAAGCCCTGGACTCTTTTCCAGGACACGCTCCCAGCAGGCAAAATGGCCTGGCCTTTGCTCCAGAAACCCCCAACGACAGCAGCAGACTATCTGGTACAAGAGCAGGCTCTCTCTAACTCACTCCTCTTCCAAGGTTTCTGTCCAGGGGCCCCTCCTGCCTTTGCTTTTTTCCTGGAGGGCTCCAGATCCCCGTCCCTTCTCTGCCTTCTAACTCTCCTCCTCTGCCTTGGGTCAAATCTTTCTGTACAGGTCACAACTATAGACGCATCCTAAATGAAATTAGACAAATGAGTTTTAATATAAGATGAATGTAGGCTGATAGTTTGGAAGCTTTTGAACTTAACTTACATTATAAACTTCAGCACATCCCACTAGAACTCCAAGGTGCATAACAGACTTACAATACCCACCTCAAACGTAAATTCCTATAGGGATTTGTTTTAATCTGGAGCTAATCCCATCCATCATTCATGACCTAAAGGCATCTGAAACTGGGCCTTAGCCTTCCTTGTCACATCCCTGCATACTCTGACAACATCCCTATATTCTTCCCAAGTGGCCTATCCTCTTTTCCACGTTCTGTATACTTCCTTCTCCTGTTAGAGTTTTGCCAGTAGTTCCTTGCTCATCCTTGCTTAGGTCAGAGACAGAGGGTGGACTTCATCTCACCTGACTTCAGGCTGCTATAGGTAGGCTTTTACAGCTCAGCAATGCACACTGCTCTTCTGCTACCAGCCAAATCAAGTACTTACTTACCCTATGGGAAGCAGCTTATGCTGCATTCACCCCTACCATTCTGTTTCTTTGTGCTAAGCTCTTAGCAGCAGCCCCCCTTGCAGCTTCCTGGATTTAGTGACAATTCAGACTTGCCATGACCAGAGCTGTGCAGCCAGGTGGGCAATTTGGATTTGTCTCTGTCTACAGCATAAGCCTGGGGGGACATTACCATGGAGAGAGTCAAGACATGGTGGGATTGGTAATACGTTCTGTAATACAGGCCACTCTTATGGGAAAAATGCAACTTGGTAGGGATCCAAAGGCTCAAATTTCAGGCTGTAAATCAGGTGAAACAGAGTATACTGAGACCTAAGTAGTGTATTGGCCATCTGATGCTGGAGGAATCACAGACTTTGGCTTGATTACAAACAAGCTCCCATGTTTCTCTTCATCTCAAAATAAGATTAGGGGGCAAAAGATACCAGGCAGGGAGGAAACACAGCCTGTCAGCAGTGCCCATGATAATTTCACCCTGCTCAGCTCCCTCACTACCTCCAGACCCGGGAGCAACCACTGGAGGAAGTCAGCAGGACTGAGCAGGCAAGGCAAATGGAGCCGGCGTCGGACTCCGACTCCCACTGCATTTCAGGAGACACCTCCGACTCCCCCAGCTTCCTTCCAAAATGCCAGAGTCTTGCACAGGTGGGTAGAGGTAGCGCTTGTTCTGAAATGCTGCACGGGCGTAACCCGGTGCCCATCTCTCAGGAGACAACCCCGAGTCACCCTGCCATTTCATCTCAAGAGCTCAAGAGTCGGCATCTGACACATTCCTTGTTAATGGTTAAACTGTGAACGTGCGTGGAAGACATGGCGTGCACTGTGCCCTCTGCCTCCTTTGGGGAGGTGGGGTAGAAGCAGGCCAACTGGCACACAGCTGGACATAAGCCCTGGACTCTTTTCCAGGACACGCTCCCAGCAGGCAAAATGGCCTGGCCTTTGCTCCAGAAACCCCCAACGACAGCAGCAGACTATCTGGTACAAGAGCAGGCTCTCTCTAACTCACTCCTCTTCCAAGGTTTCTGTCCAGGGGCCCCTCCTGCCTTTGCTTTTTTCCTGGAGGGCTCCAGATCCCCGTCCCTTCTCTGCCTTCTAACTCTCCTCCTCTGCCTTGGGTCAAATCTTTCTGTACAGGTCACAACTATAGACGCATCCTAAATGAAATTAGACAAATGAGTTTTAATATAAGATGAATGTAGGCTGATAGTTTGGAAGCTTTTGAACTTAACTTACATTATAAACTTCAGCACATCCCACTAGAACTCCAAGGTGCATAACAGACTTACAATACCCACCTCAAACGTAAATTCCTATAGGGATTTGTTTTAATCTGGAGCTAATCCCATCCATCATTCATGACCTAAAGGCATCTGACACAGGCTAAGACCATTTCGATCCAAGTTTTTGTATATGAAACAGTCACATAGGTGGGGTTGGAATAATCCCACTTAACTTTCAGCATGTTCTGGAATGCTGAAGTCGATGCTGCTCACTTCTGGCTCCATCAGTAGCAATGGCTCTAAATATTTTAGTTGCCCAGACTTTCTTCAAAAAATAGCCAGTGTGCCTGTTTCACGGAGTCCAGCTCCTTTCCCACACTTACAGTCACAGTTACCACCAGGAAGAGAGATAAGATATGCTTGAAGGTTTGTTTGAAGATGTATTAGCTGAATAGATACCAGCCAATACACTGAAGCAGAAAGAAAAGAAAGAACAACGCTCTAAAAGAGGATAAAAGTAGGAGTTGTGTAACAAAGAAACTTAATCAGAATGCATAAGTTATGCTGCATGCGTACGTTATACTATAGTGTGATTATCCATGATATCTGATGAAGGACTTGGTGGCTATTTCTGCACTAGTGAGTTAAAGGGAACTGGAACTCTACCATCTATACCAGTAGAGTGCAAAATCATTCCTGGTATGGATTTTTGGTCTTGGTCAGCTCTGTTTGGGCACAGTTCAGGGATAATTTCCAAAAGATGTTTTGCATCCCGCCATCTGCTTTGGAGACTAATTTGGAGTTTGCTAATACGTCTGTAATTAAGTCATGCTAGGTAACTTTAAGATCAGAGACCAAACCTTGTCATCATTTAAAATGCTAGGAGAGTCGTAGCCACACACTACTATTAACCCGAGCAGGCTATGAGATTTTGTAAGTTTTATGTATGTAACTAGGTCAGTGAACCTTTGCGAAACTGGACTGTTGGACTTTCATCCAGGACAATGAGACGCACAAAAATATCTCTGTCACCCAATCATAGAAGTCTGTCTTGCAAACATTTACCTGGCTGTGTCCTGCTCTCATGATTCATCAGCAAGCACAAGCAAAGAGACCAAAGACCACTTCCTATTGTAACTTCATGATGTCTTAGCAGAGAAAGAGAAGTGATTTGGACTGCTCTATGGGAACCCTGGGAGATATCTGGATGTTTAGGGCTAGCCTAATCCTGCCTCCAGTGAAGTCTTTTGAAACTGCCAATGCATTCAATGGAAACAAAGTTTTACTAATATTTAACACTTGGGAAAAAATATCTCTCTATGCACTAATCACTTCAGTATTTGGCATTTTGATTTCAGTGCTCAGGGTATCAAGGCTGTGCCCGCACTGTTAGAGCAAATATAACTAATCAGTGACCTGAACAGCAGATAGAATGTAAGGCTGTTTGCCAAACACCAGATTGGTGACCTTTGGTTCCCCATGTTCTTGGACTTCATCCTAGGGAAAGCATAAGATACACACTTATCCAGTCACATAAGCTTGGCTTGCAAGCATTCACCTGGCTCTGTACTGTATTAGCAAGCACAGGGGAGGAGACTAAACCTACCACCAACCACAGGAAAAATACACCTTTTACTGGAAAACAGGTACAAGGGTCTCTCATGGCAAATTTCTGCAGTAAAACAGGAGTGTGGATTTTCATTTCTCTCTGACCTTTTGCAGCAAATATTTGGCTGAATAGAGATGGACTGGACCAGCTGCACTCCTGTGGGCTTAGTGCTCATCCTGACTTTTCTATTTATTATGAAAATGGGAAATTTCTGGAATGGCTACCTGAGGAAGGATTTCCCCCCAGGACCAAGAGCATTACCTATCATTGGAAATCTTAACTTGTTTGATTTGAAGAGACCCTACAGGACTTATCTGCAGGTAACCATCACTTTTTCTGATGTTCCCATCACTGCCCATATCATCAAGCCACATTGTCCAAGATGTCAGAGTGTTTCCCCTACCACGGCCTGGGTGTCACATTCACAGATGATGTAGGCCTGTAGCAAGGAACAGGAGACTGCTATTTGGGTGGAAAACTTTGAACACAGCAGGATTTGTTCTTTACTGTAACACCTTCTCCCTTCTATTCCCTGCAACTTCATGAGTGTTTGTTTCAGTGCTAAATAACTCTGAAATCGATAACAAGAGTTCACCTTATTTCTATGGCATTTTGCTGAAAAGATGCTTAGAAAGGAGGGATTTTAGAGAAGTGGGATAACCCTTCATGGCCTACCTAGCCATAGTTAAAATAGCTGGGGTAGTGACCACAACTTTCTGCC